AAAAAAAAAAAAAAAAAAAATATATATATATATATATATATAGATATATATATATATATATAGATATATAGAAGAATGTATCAGGTTTTTTTAATTGTCCACAAAATGAAAGTCAATAGAATCCAATGTTGTCTTGTCATTTGCGCCGTGGACACAAAAGCTAAAACATTCTTCAAAATATCTTCTTTTATGTTCTACAGAAGACAGAAAGTCATACAGATTTTGGAATGACATGAAGGTGAGTAAATGAAGACAATTTTCATGTTTGGGTGAACAAGGAACAACAGCATCCAAAACACAACATACAGTGGGTACGGAAAGTATTCAGACCCCCTTCAATTTTTCACTCTTTGTTATATAATTAACTTAAATGATTTTAGCAAATGGCTGCAATATAACAAAGAGTGAAAAATTGAAGGGGGTCTGAATACTTTCCGTACCCACTGTACATTAGGCTAGTTATTAACAGGGAAGAAGAATGATTGGCTGAATTGTGTGTAATCTTTACAGTTGCCTGTTTTTTGTTCATTCATTTTCATCGTAACCGTAAATTCAAACACATCCTTGCATTTTGTGATAACAAGTGTGTGACATGCTTTGGTGCCAAATACCGTTTAGAGCTATTACCCTCGAAAGCCATTTTTATTAACGAGTCTACAAATCTCAGCTGCCTCTTGTGTAATTGATCGCGTTAACTTGCTTTAAACAGAATGAGTTTCTAATTATTCAAAACTTCAGATGTAATTAATGTTTAAATGAAACTCGCCTGCGTCCTGTCAGGTGAAGTGACGCTCCACGGCTGCTCCGTGTCACAGCCCGGGAGTTCATTCCCTGCCGACCGCTGTTTAATTCCGAGTGCACTGTCTGGATAATGGCCTGTAATTGGTTGGTTTTAGCATGGAGATGAAAACCACAGTGAGAGCGAGCCTCTCAGCTCTGTTTTAATCAGAAAGCATCCATCAGTTCAGCTATCGCTCTCTTTTCGGTGTCTGAAATATCGCAAACCATGTTTCTAAATGCTCTGTTTTTAATTTTTCAGGTCAATTAAAGTGGAGGTGTACGACTGGGACAGAGATGGCAGGTAGAGAAACACGCACGTTTGTTTTTTTCCACACTACACATTTATGTAATATATTCTCCTATGTATGCATTTGGTACACCCTACACAAAGGCACTTTATTTTTTCAAATCATATTTTTTTCTTGATAACGTAGCGGCAAAATTTCCCTCTAGCTTTCTGCAGTGCTGTCAACTCTGCTGTAAAATGCCTGGCAGTTACAAATACTGATCACTCCAGATCTCATAAAAAAAGTTCAAATCCATCTATCTTCATCATCACAGACCGTAAGAGTCTCATTGTTGTTCTTTGTGCTTCAGTCATGATTTTATCGGGGAGTTCACCACCAGCTACAGAGAGCTCTCTCGTGGTCAGAGTCAGTTCAACGTGTTCGAGGTGAGTTCATTGAAGCAGATACTGATCCATTGATCATCAGAGGCTTTATTGTATATGGATAAAGGAGTGATTCTAGATTCATGAATTTATGATGTCAGAGAAGAAATTAAAACGTCAGACAATATTTGGCTGATAAAAAAAAACAAAACAAGGAAAATGCGTCAATGCATGACAGGGTACAAAGCGTGTGTTTATGTGAGAAATGAGGAGAGCGTAACAGATAGCTATGTAGAGGTGAGGAGTGTGTATAAATGTGTGTGTGTATTCACCCTAGCATTAGCCCAGTGGTGGGGTGAGAGGGTGGTGAGATGTTCTACAGGAGTGTGACAGTCCCAGTGGTGTGCTGAAAGGATCTGGGATTTCCTGGGGATTGAGTTTGACAAACAACACTAGAAGCTGCGGTGTCGGTTCAGTTAAACCCCAATCCATCCAAATCAGATCATCTGTGTCCTGGTTTCCAAACGGTTAGCCAAGGTTGCGTATGTAACCGACCTGAACTGGATTTCTCAAAGCATCTGAACACTTAGATCAGTTGTGTCTTTGAAAGTAAGTGGAACAGAAATGACTGGGAATGATCCAGCAGCAGAGCTCTCAAACTTCTCTTCTTTTGGACAAGTAACGGGTCTAATAAGAACCATTTTCTCTCATTCTCTGTCTCTCACACACTCCCACTCTTCCTGTAAATGAAGTGTCATTTCTAAATGTTCAATTTCAGGTGGTAAATCCTAAAAAGAAACTCAAAAAGAGGAGATACATCAACTCTGGCACAGTGAGTAGTGAATGTGCTATCCTAAAATCCTTAGGATTTCTTTTTGTCTTGTCTTCCAGTACAAACATTTAAACATGCTAAACTTACCTTAGAAGTAATACTGCATAAGATAATAAGATTTATTTTCAATATATCTTAAATTAAGTTTACATTTCTTATCAAACTGTCAAATAGTTCTTGCTTGAAGAAAATTAAACTCAATTCTGTGAGAGTTATGCCTAAAACAAGAAAAAAGAATATTTGTTAAACATAAACAATAAAAATAATTCAAGAGATGTTCTCTAAAAACAAGTTCTTTTTCAGAACAATTTTACTCTCTCTTTAGTAACACTGTTATTTTAGTATTATTTCTAGATGTATTCATATTTTAAATGAGCTTTTATATATATATACAGTATATATATATATATATATATATACACACGTGTATGTATATATATATATATATATATATATTAGCTCTAATTTTAGTTAATCTTTAGATTTCGGTTAGTTGCCAATGCAGTTTTAAATTTTACACCTAATATATATAATTTATCTCATTTAAAAATTTTATTTCAGAATTATTGTCGATTTCCGTTTTAGTTAACAATAACAGCACAATTTTGCATCTCAAGTGAATTTTGTCCTGTTTTGAGGATGTTTATATATTTTTTACTAGAAAACTAGACAAAAACACTGAAAAAAAGAACTTTATGCATTGCATTCACTGCATTCTTACATAGATTAATTTTGTCCAGCTGTATTCCACAAGGACTCTGAACGTCTGGATAATATTCAGATAAATTACTCGAAAATCTGAGATCCAAGTCCCCTGACTGAATAGTGCTTTCTGTTTCATACTCTGATAAGGTGAGCAGTGAGGAAGTAATATTGGAGGTCCGGGTGGATAACAGTGATTAATGATCCACAAAGACTCTCCGCATTGACTGCCATGAATTGGCTTTGAGATTGTAATCAAAACTCAAATGAATAGTCCATCACCTGTCTTCCACCCAACATGGAAAGATTCTGGTTGTCTAATGACAGTAAAAGACTGTGTGGCCTTGACAGCTGAGAGAAGAGTCTTTGCATAATGCCATGATGGATTGTTTCGTGACAGATGTGGTTTGTGCTTATATGCTGGTGTAAACCGTCTGTTCTTTGTTGCTCAATTACCCAGGTGACACTGCTTTCATTCTCGGTGGAGGCCGAACACACGTTCCTGGACTACATCAAAGCAGGGTACGGACGAAAATACACACAATCACCCTCATGTAAGCGTATGTACCGAATTTAGACTTTTCTAAAATGCTTCTGAAATCACAGCGTCACAATATGTAATTTTTGTAAACATTCTCAGCGGATGTAAAGGCCAGAATCTTACTGAAGCCATCAGGATGTTATCACAGTAATGGCGTCAAACAGCTCATCAAACAGCTTTGGGAAAGAGCTCCGGTAAACAAGACCTGAATAACCCCTTAAATGTTAAACTAGAACAACAAACACGGCTATTGTAGTAGTTACTGTAATCAGCATTCAGAGGTTGCCAGGTCCTCTTCAGTTTACACTGATGAAAGGCTGGCCTTGTGCACGGATGCCAGTAGTGTGGAAAACATCTCAGAGCTGTTGACCTTATACTGTGGTCTGATCCATTGATATGTCTGGCATTAGGAAGTATGACCTTCTGCCCCCTCTGTGTCTGTTAACTCTGACATAAAGCCTGCTTCCTAAACCTGAAAAATGCTGCACTGACAGGCACTATCTGGAGGTAGGAAGGCATCAGAGCATTTCCGAATCCTGCCTATTAAGATACCTCCATCAAATCAGTTTTTAAAGCTAGTGAAGCTGTCTGTATACTGTAAAAAAAAAAAAGTACATTTGTATTAAAAAATATCCATTAATATTTACACTATTAATTATATAATATTATTAATTACACTACCATTGAAATGTTTGGGGTCTGTAAGATTAAAAAAAAAAAGAAATGAATAATTTAATTCAGCAGTAATGCATTAAATTAATTAAAAATAACATTATTAGTATTTTATATTATTAGTATTTTTTTAGATTTACAAAAATCTATTTAAAATAAATGCTGTCCTTATCAACTTTCTATTCATCAAAGAATCCTAAAAAAATGTATCACAGTTTCCACAAAAATATAAAGTAGCACAACTGTTTTCAACATGTTTCTTGAGAACCAAATCAGAATATCAGAATGATTTCTTAAAGGGATAGTTCACCCAAAAATGAAAATTTGATGTTTATCTGCTTACCCCCAGGGCATCCAAGATGTAGGTGACTTTGTTTCTTCAGTAGAACACAAACGAAGATTTTTTTAACTCAAACCGTTGCAGTCTGTCAGTCATATAATGTAAGTGAATGGGAATCACGGCTTTGAGAGTCAAAAAAACACACAAACAAAACCAAATTAAACCCTGTGGCTCGTGACGATACATTGATGTGTAAAGACACGAAACGATCGGTCTGTCCAAGAAACTGAACAGTATTTATATCGTTTTTTACCTCTGATTCAACGCAATTTCCGAACTGTCCTGAGCGCGTTCGCGTCTTCTTCTTCTTGCTTTACGGCAGATCGCAGACTTATAAGTGCATTACCGCCACCTATCTCTCAAATGGACCATTGACACTCTATCTACAATCTCAATTAGGAGTGTCAATGGTCCATTTGAGAGATAGGTGGCGGTAATGCACTTATAAGTCTGTGATCTGCCGTTCGTTTAGTGTCTTTACACATCAATGTATCATCACGAGCTGCAGGGTTTAATTTGGTTTTGTTTGTGTATTGTTTTTTTGACTCTCAAAGCCGTGATTCCCATTCACTTACATTATATGACTGACAGACTGCAACGGTTTGAGTTAAAAATCTCCGTTTGTGTTCTACTGAAGAAAGTCACCTACATCTTGGATGCCCTGGGAGTAAGCAGATAAACATCAAATTTTAATTTTTTGGGTGAACTATCCCTTTAAAGATCATGAGACACAATGGCTGCTGATAATTCAGCCTTGCTGTCACAGGAATAAATTAAATGTAAAAAAATATTAAAATAGAAAACAGCTACTTTCAGTTGTAACATTTTTTTTCATAATATTACTGTTTTTACAGTACTTTTGATCAAATAATTGCAACCTTGTTGAGAATAAGACTTCTATCAACCCTAAACATTTGAATGCTAGTGTGTACGTCTATTTATATTAAATATTGTAATTTAAATTTTTGAATAATAAAATTTTTTGGGTTTACAGAGAAGCAAACATTGTTTTTATTAAAGGGGTTCTATTATGCTCTTTTACAAAGTCTTGATTTTGTTTTGGGGGTGTACTAGAACATGCTCTCATGCTTGGTGGTTCAAAAAACGCATTATTTTTCACATAATTTACATTAAGCATTTTCCTGGATGTTTCCAAAGCTTTCTTAAATTTGTTCTAGATCATTATTGTAATGTTATTGTTCCTGTTGGAGGAATCTTCATACTTAGTATCTTCATTGACTTATTAGGCAGTAGTTGGTTAAAGAAAGAAAACTGGTTTGCAACCTGTCTGTTGTGTTGAGTGAGTAATGCCTGGCTCTCTTATTCTGAATGGTTCATGGATAAGATTCAAAAATCAACATAAAATCAGAATCACCTGCTTTATCAGCTGTAATGTTACTACAACAGCAAGCAATTAATCTGATAACCGTGCTTAATGGTTTGAATGTTCTGCTCTCTCCACCCTTTTGTGATCCAATATTGATAAGTTCCTGCCATGGTTCCTGTCCCACACCTAAAGATACTAGTGTGTCTCATCCTGCTGGAGACTGATATCACCCAGTATCTCTCACTCTGTCAGTCAGGCTGTGCTGTTTAAGAGATTGAGTGAGGGAGCAACAACGTTTCTAGCTCTGGACTTGACTTTGGTGTTGTGGTCTGGGTGGTTAGTACAATTACTGTTTTACAGTTTTTGTATCAATGTCTTGTGCTGTGGTACTTCAAAACACAATTGTTCAGCTACCTGTTGGCAAGCATTGCCAAATAGTTTTTTCCCCCTTGTTTTAAACATAAATCCAACAAACAATTGTGAGGATTATGTGTAAAACACCTCACCAAGGCTGCATTTATTTGATAAAAAAACAGTAAAAACTGTCAGATTGTGAAATATGATTACAATTAAAAACAATTGTTTACTGTTTTAATATATGTTATAATGTAATTTATTCCTGTCAAAGCGGAAAATTTCAGCATCATTACTCCAGTCTTCAGTGTCACATGATCCTTCAGATATCATTCTAATAAGCTGATTTGCTGCTCAAGAAACATGTTGTGCAGTTTTGTAAAAACTGATAAATTTTTGATACATTTGATGAATATAAATTTCAAAATAACAGCAGTAAAAACCTTTTGTAACATTTTAAATGTCTTTACTGTCACTTGTGATCAAGTTAATGCATCCCTGCTGAATAATAGTATTATTTCTTTATGAAAAAGAAATTTTGCTGACCCCAAAATTTTGAATGGTACTTGGTACTTGTTTTCCATTAATTATATCTAAACAGCCTTAAGACAGGCTGTTTAGATATATTTACCGGAAAACAAGACAAAAATAGATAATATATATGTATTTTACAATTAAAGAGATTGGTGATTTAATGTATTTTTATATGTATCTACACTCTCAGAAAAAAGGTACAAAAATTGTCTTTTCAAAATGGACCATTTAGGTACTAACATGTACGCTTTAGGGATAAATAAGGTACAAAGGTGTACTTTTTCAAAGGTACCACTCCAGTGACAGCTTTTGCACCTGAGAGTGTTGGGTTTATAATAAATGTGGCAAAAGCCTAAAAATAAAAAACAGAGAGGCAGAGTAATAAAGCAAGTGAGAGCGTAAACAGTCTATGATCTGTGACTATCCAAAGACGTGGCTGACCTTTCACACTGGAGTAATCTATATCGCTCTGACATCGCCCTGTGTGCCACGTTCAGTTCACACCGACTCAGATCACTCTGTCCACACTCAAACTGCTTTCTGTCAGGTTTTCACCTTTGTTCTTTTTCTCCATCAGACTCTGACCTTTAATATTGATGCTGAAAGCAGACCTTTGTATGGATTTCCCATTGCTACATGTTTCATTCACTTTCCTCTTTACAAAGAGGACTATATATATATATATATATATAACCCTATTTCGTTCTTAAATCATCATATCCTGGTTCAGAGAATGAGATGGATTCTCTTTTTACTGCAGCAAATGAGTGAAAGAATCATGTCTTAAGAGAGAAGTGTTAATTATAGTGCAGGTCATAAAGGTAGCTGTCAGAGTTAATGTAAAATTGAAAACCTTTTCTGAGGACCTTATTAAATGTTTAATCATGTTTTTGAAAAGAAATGGTCTGCATGGAAGAACTTCCGTCTAGACTAGTTAATCAAATTTACATTAAGATCAGCATTAAATATATTTCTTCAACAGAAAACAGACTCAGACAGATTTTTAAAACTAGAAACAAACTAGACACAAATGAGATGATCGTTGACAAAAGTAGAAATAAAATAGATTCAATTTTAGAGTAGTATAGCTCAGATCTTGGAAGAATTTGTGGAGAAATCTTTGACTTTTGAGCAGTTAAACTGAACACAGTTTGTGATATTGTTGAGATCTCCTCTGAAACCCTAAAGGATAAGATTATGGGGACTTTTTCTTAGGAGTAAATCCTGAGAAACAGTCTCCATTGATCTCCATTATTTTTTATCTGTTTCATTGCTGTCTAGGTGAAATCATTAAGATTAGATTTGTGATTCATTTCCAGTGGGAGATAGAGTAGAAAAAAACACACTTACCTTTTCATGGAAATGTGATGCTTTTGTTCTTTCTTATTTTTTTTTTCAACTAATCTTAGTAAAGCACTTTTTATAGGTGATTAGATCTTTAGAGGTCTCTTGAACTCATCAGATTGCACTTTATCCTGGGCCAGAGGGAGACATTGTGTAAAATGTGATTGAAGAACTCATGAGGGGAATCTAGCTTTAGAAAGACACAAGACACTCATAACCATACAGCGAGGATATACAAAACTACCGCATTGCAGTGATGTGTGTGTTCCTGGATCAAGTTACACATTAGTACATTTACAAAATATATTTATATAAAAAAACTGTCAGTGCTTTTTGCATTCATTGGATCAAAAGTGTTAATTTATCATGAATGTAAAACACATCTGTCTGCACTGTTGCTAATGTGACAGTCACAATCCCATCATTCTATATCATTCTATTCTAGCTGTTTTTTTCACTCCTATAGATGACATTCCGAATTCCAGCATTAAGATAAATGTTCTTCATATAAAAGCTCCGGTCCAAAAGCTCTCGGAGGTTTCTTGTCTCCACCAAAGGAGCTGTTGAGGTTCCCGGTATAATGCAGATTAATGCACCAGCCCCGGCTTTGTGCCTGGAGATATCAGTGATAATCAAAAAAAAAAAACTTGAGATGGACGGAAAAAAAGGAATGAAGATTAAAGAGCATAAACAGAGCTTGTTAATCACCATTGTGCTGCTCCCCCCTCCTTCCTGTTTATATTGTGCTGAGTTAAATAATAATAATAAAGGCTGGTAAAAAGGATTCCGTTTTTTGGTCCTTACCCAAGGTCTTTGCATAAACACAATACCCTTGTGTTGCATATGAATATGATTTGGCCCGAATCTCATTAACAGATGTGTGGTCATGTTTGCGGATGTACAGTGGATGTTTAAAATACATAATTACTCTCTGCTGACCCATCACTGATGAATCAGCGCTTAGGAAAACATTTCACTGTATAGGGTTGTGTATGAATGACAGCTGTAACCGCATGTTGATTAGGGCCTTCTTTGAAATGCTTTTCCCCCATTTAATTTTTGTGTTTTACCCACTTGCATCGAGGATGATTTCTTTGTGTGTGTGCAAATGTTTCATAAATATTCACTGACTTCATACTCCATGTTTTCCGACATTCTCGTCCAGAGCTCATTTCTCATTTGCACTGAGACCACAGAGTTCATGCTGAAAGGGGAAAGCCATTGAGATTCAGATATTAGATGTCATTATGATATTTTTCAGTGCTTCAGAGGTTATCTGTACAAGTGTTCTGTACTCCCATCAGCAGCAGAAAAACTTGTTTGTTCTCGTATAATCGGTTCCATTGTGCAGGTGCTCAGATTAGCCATTTGTTTTCTGTGGGCTCAGTGCTTTCTGTTAATTTAAAGGGAGATAAAGAGATTAACAAAAGCAAACTAAACAAAAACATTGGTTATCCAATTAGATGTTTTATGGTCATTTAAAAATGGCAGTATTAGAATCTGTAACAGATTTTTATATATTTTTCTTTTAATATAAATTTATTTCTATAGCACTTTTCACAATAAATACTGTACCAAAGCAGCTTTACAAAGAATAATGCTTTATGAGTGAGACAAAATCTGAGACCTATGTATGCATATACATACATGTTTATGCTTGCTTATTTGTATTCACGTGTTTATTTTTATTTTTGTTTTTTAATTGTAATATTGCATGCTATTTTATCTGTATGAGATATGATAGTAGAAAACTAACAGGAAGGTTTAGGGAAAACAGAACTGGGACATTTTTATTTATTTATTTATTTTTATGCCATGGGAGCATTGCTTTAATTCCAATGAAATTAAACTTGAACCTGGAATAAACTGAAACAGTGAAAATGAAAAATAATAATGCTAATAAATAATTCTATTCTAATTTAATTTTAACTTTCATCCAGTTTGTTAAAAATATATTTTGTGACTAGTAAGTTATTAAATGACAAATTAAATGTTTAAAATATGCTATTTTTACTTGTAGGTTTTGGTCCCCACTGTATATAATACACTGATATACATTATAACAATTCTTCTTTGGATTGCTTGAACGCAATTGTAATTCAAAGGGCTGTTATTTAAAAGACATGTCCCTGCACTGTGCTCTGATGCCCATTGAACTCTAGCTATCAGAATCAGTGGGTAATCACTGGCTCCATACTGTGTCTATAGTGAATGTACTGTCCTCCAGCCAGTCTCTCTGCACGATAAGCATCAGTAATCCAGAACTAAGCTGGAGTTCCCACTGTTTTCAGTATAGAAACAGAGTTGTGAGCAAATCTGTGATGTCTGGCGGTTTTTTATGTGGAAGTCTTCCTCGACTGCTGTTCTGAGACCAGTTTCACTGTTGCCCTAATTAAAAAAAATGAGGAAAAAGAAGTGGGTTTTACACAGATGTTGGATCTGCCCACCAGGCAGAGTTGATTTTGAGGAACGTCTGGCTGCTGAGCGGGAGGTTGGCTGTCTGCCTGTCAGGTGAGAGAGACGACACAATGCAGGGCTGGGGATGGTAATTACACCAACCTCTCGAACAGCGAGAGTGGAAACATTGGAGTGTTTTGAAGCTGGAAATGTGATCTGTGCCACAGTTTGGGGTGAATCAGGATCCATCACCTTTGTTGAGCCTCACCGTCAGGTTCTCACATCTGTAATGTGTGAAAATGTTGGCTTATAGTATATCGAAATGCTTTCATTTGATATTCTTACCTTCTCCTCTTTCTCTCTCTAGCACTCAGATCCATTTCACAGTGGCCATTGATTTCACTGCGTCCAATGGTAAGGATTGTTTTTTTTTTTCAGTGTTGATTGGATTTGTTCTCTATGCTGTCGACCAACAGATCTGAATCAGATTTTGCCTTAATTTATGATTTCTCTCTCTTTTTAAACTCTAGGGAACCCTTCTCAGTCTACCTCCCTGCATTACATGAGCCCCTATCAGATGAACGCGTATGCATTGGCGTTGAAGGCCGTGGGCGAGATCATTCAGGACTATGACAGCGATAAGATGTTTCCTGCATTGGGCTTTGGAGCCAAACTTCCTCCTGATGGCCGGGTTTCCCATGAATTTCCCCTGGTACCTGTTTCCTAGATATGATAGATTATGTGGATTTCACAGCTAGCTGGTGCACATCCAGAGTCATTTCTGTTTGAATACTAAATGCGTGCCGTGTTTTTCAGACACTCTGAATAATGTTGCTTTGTGAAATTTAATGTGTGAGGGTATGTATGGTTGTTTTGAAGTATTTATTTAGTTGTTTGCACATATGTTGATGATATTGTAATTAGTAATGCTCGGTTACATCTATGTTTAATGTGTAAATAAGGCTCTCCTGACACTCCTGCTCATTAATGTTACCCAAGTATTCATGATGCGTGTGTGCCAAACCCTAATCTCATCAAGCATTTTGAGTCTCGTAATTAGTTTTCGCTCGCTCTTTCTCTTTTAGTCATCCATCAGCTACTCCTCCTTCCACCTCTTTTTCCCTGTGCTGGAACTTAGGATCATGACTATTCATTTTTATTCTTGCTGCTTCACTTTTCAAGTATCACTGTCTTTAGAGCATGAATAATTATCTAATGATGAATCATAAAATACCGAACAGATTCTGAGATCCCTAAGGGTGACACACTAGAGAACGTTTTGACGGTACTTTTGACGAATATGAATGTGCAAAATTGGTTTTTAGTATGCAGAAAGAACCAGTTTTTGGTTGCGGCTTCTCTTTATGTCCTTGAGACGCACCACCGCCATTGAAATCAATTGATTCGCAGTTAAATTCACGGATGTGGCGCAAATTCTAGTGCGTAGACACCCTAATGAATACTCTATACTCTAGAGTTTTATATTCAAATGAATAATGACAGATATCTAGAGAAATGTAAAGTATTATGATAATTCTAGTCTGCTGAGTTGGCATTGACAGTAGAGGCATAGTGTTAACTGATCTCTGGTGTTCTCTTTGAAGAATGGTAATGTAGATAACCCATACTGCAACGGGATGGAGGGCATCCTAGAGGCTTACCACGAGAGTCTGAAGACTGTCCAGCTCTACGGACCCACCAATTTTGCTCCTGTCATCAACCATGTAGCAAGGTAAGAAAAATGCAACAGCATTCGCTCAAAGGAGCATGCTGGCACAGTTGAAAACTTATCCTGTGTAAACCAGTGCTGAGATTGATTTCTACACTCAAATTAATAGAAAATGGTCCTATTAAAATAACAGTCTTTGCTCAGTCAAGCAAAAATGTTTGTCATGACGGACTTTATTTTGAGTTTTGCCAAACAAAAGATCACCTTTTCATCTGGTGTTTTGGGACTCGTTGGCTAAAACTTCATAGCCGGAGTTGACATCTTAAATATTAGAAAAATAGGAGCTCATAGAACAAAACTGATGATCTTTTGGAGATGTAAAAGTGTGGTCACATTTACTATCATTTGGTGAATTTTAAAGGCCAAATATAGTCAGTTCAATAGGAATCTGTGCAATCTGGAGTTTGGCTTGAGGGCGAAAGATTCTCCCACACAGATTTCACATCGTGTTCAAGTTGGTCACGCAAATTTATCGCTGTAATCACTAATACTGTCATTAATGTGTCCTTACATTTAAGCTCACTATTTAGGCTGCTGCTTCTGTTTGCATATTCTTCAGGCTGTCCTGGGTACTGATGTATGAAGGAAAGTTTTCACCTTAGAGTAAAAAATAAAACTAATAACTGAAAAAAATATATATAAATAAAACCATATTGTGAAGTCGCAACTGTGAGAAATAGTCAAATGTCAGAAATAATGTTGCAACTGTGAGAAAGAGAAACAAATGAAATATTTAGTCACTGTTGTGATAAACAAAGTAACGAGAGATATAGCATTGTAATTGTGTAACAAAGTTGAAATTGTGAGAAAAAGTATCAACTGTGAGAAAAAACAGTTGAGAACCAAAGATTTAAATTAAAATATAAAGTGATAAATTGTGAGTTATAAAGTCGCAATTATGAGAAACAGCTGAAATTTAGAGAAAACTGTGGCAAAGTCACAATTGTGAGATATATAATGTTGCAGTTTTGGGAAACAGTCAAAATCGTGAGATGTAAATTCGCAATTATGAGAATCAAAGTTGAAATTACGAGAAATAGTCATAACTGTGAGAAAGTCACAATGAGATATTGCAATTATGACAAACTCACAACTGTGAGATATAAAATCACATTTATGTGCAACAAAGTGACAATTGTGAGCTATAAAGTCGCAATTATGCGAAGCAACGTCATAGCTGTGAGGAATAAAATAATAATTACAAAAAGTCGCTCTTGACTTCTTCTGTTTTGTATTCTGAGGCAGACACAAGCTTCTGTACTCATGAACACTGTAGCTAATGTGATACTGATTGTACGTATTGTCAAAATTAACATGTAGATGATTTAACAAGCATAAAGTATTTGTTTCATGTTGCTGTGACCGTGTGCGGACCTCCGAGAGACCAGATCTCCTGTCATAGCTTCTGTAAAGTGTTTTGCATCACAAAGAGCATTATGGGATTTTGATGAAGGCAGAAGAGCTGTGTCAATAGCACAGGGACCTCCCAGAGCAAATATATATATGCATGAGATTCAGCGCTGAATACTAAGTGTTCATTGAGGATGATCATTCTTTCATTATTCATCCACCGTGTTAAAACAAACAATCAACGGTACCAGCATGAAGAGATTTTCATATTTGGGTTATGGTTCATTTGGGTGATTTGGATCATAATGGTTTCTGCTAATATGTTTGTTAATGTGAAAATGTGATTGCGTGTGTGTATGTGCGTGTGTGTCTGGGCACAGGTATGCTGCAGCAGTTCAAGACGGCTCGCAGTACTTTGTGCTTCTCATCATCACAGACGGTGTGATATCAGATATGGCTCAGACTAAAGAAGCCATCGTCAATGTGAGTTATCCTTGACCTTTCTGTGTCTCTCGCCTACTGTCCTCAAAAACTGTTTACATCATCATATTCTGGTGCAACACTGCATCACAAGTGCCCCCCAGGCAAAGTCGAAGAAGAGTTAAGGTGCTTTATGGGTCTTCCGGAGGTCCTCTCCGCACCTAATGGGATTCGCCTGTCTCCGTTGCTATGGTTACCCAGCAGACTGGATTTAAAGGGAATTTGCGACTGTTTAGTCACATTATTAAAACAGCCACACCTTCCTTTTAAGATCTTGCCTGCTGCTCTGTCTCTTCTTCACCCTCTACCCAGGATGCTTTGGATCTCGGTCTTCGGTCACACGGTAACATTTCTACACTGACTGATATGGGTTCATGCACTTTGAATGACTGAACACTTCATGTGCGTTATGCGTTTTTATGACTTGAGTGATTTTTATTGAAGTCCGCTATGGAAATTCCACTCTTGTGCTCTTTTCTGTTGGTCTTTTTAAAATGATTAGATAAAAATGAGCACTTTGAAGTGTTTCTCATATCACTCTCTCACTCTGACTGATGATTCTCTGCACTCACAGTGATTTGGCCTCTTATACTGTATATATTCTAGCTAAAGTAGCTGAAGCGAAATGTAGGTTAATTCCATGGACTGAATGGTCATTGGTTTTTGTGATCACTTAATTTTGACCATTGGTGTTTTTCGAACAAGAATAATTACTCTGAAATAACAATTTTTAGTCATTATTTTGTCTTGTTTCCCAATAAAAATATCTAAACATCTTTAAATAAATAAACTTGAGAAGCAAAGGTTTTTGTTTTTTTTACCTTTTTATAAGTCTCTTCTTATAGAGCAACTGAGGTTAAATGTTTTCATAAACAAAAATCTAATATACTACAGATACACTGTAAATATTTTAATCAGTATTTAATATATAAAATATATTAAAAATAATTAAAACATGTAAATAAAACATGTCTCTCTACTTCAAAATTTCACATTTAATTCATATGTTACTTCCCTAGTAAAAAAGTAATATATTCAAAATACATTTATTTCATATGAAGTTCAAATTTATTAACATATTTACTGACATATCGCTCGAGACTTACTGATATAAAAATTAAAATTAAACTTTACCTGGAGTGCTACTTGTGCACAATGCACATTTCTTAAAATTTAGCCTAAAATGTGTTTTAATGTCACTATTGATGAGGATTGTATGATCTTTGAATAATATTGGTCTTTAAATGCAAGATATTTAAAGTGTACCTGAAGTATACTTGCAATAGTTCCACTTTAGCACAATCAAATCTACCTCAGTATGTCTTTAATTGAACTTCAGCACTTCTTCCGCACAATTAAAGTACATTAAGTACAAAATTAGTTGTTCCAATTTAGCAGACTTTGAGTATACCAGTTTAGTATACCAAAGTACAATTTCAGGGTATTTATTAAGCACATAAATATGTAATTGTATTTTTAGTATACTTAGCATAAAATAAATGTATTTCAAATACATTTTAGTATATTTATTTTTCACTAGGGTTGCCATTTGTTTGTAATTGATTGTAAAATTTACCAGCAATTTCTGAGTGAAAAGTTTTTCTACAGTGTAAAACTTTGTTAGATTTATGCTTAAAACAAGAAAACATTTGTCAATTGAAATAAAGAACAAAATAAATAAACAAATAAATAAACTTAAAGATATGTGATTTGAAAAGTCTTAATTTCTTTTCCAGTTTTGCTTCTCAAGTCAATGTTTCTAAGGGTATTTCAGTATTTATGGAAAAACATGGCAAGAAATATTGATTACAAGAATGATGTTTCCAGTGTATGTGTAAAAAGGATGTATTTAATATTTAATAAATCTATAAATGATGTTTTATCCTCACTGATACCAGTAGATATGTGCATGTTCAAGCAGTCACTGAGAATCTAAGAATACACTGAAGCCAAGCAAGAGGGTATGTGGCTCAGCGGACAAGAGAACACTGTAATTCACAGCGTTTATTATAGGCTAGCTGCAAATGTGTCACATCACATAATTCACAGTAATCTGCACTTACTTCATGGCTGAGAGAGGTATTTGTTAAAAAAAAAAAGTCAGGAAAACAGGGAGAAACAAGAGGGAGAGGGAAAGTAAACAAACAAGTGAGCAAGAGAGTTTGCGAGAGAAGCACTTGAAGGAAAGACCTACAGGAAATAGAGCAGTGAATACATGAAGTGTGTGTGAAATGTGTTTGTTTAGACTCCTCTTCCCAGCTCTATTTCTTTTAACACATGACCGCCTCTGTCCCCCGTGAGCATTTCCAGGAATGCTGACCTACTTCCAACCCCATAAATATGTTTTTATAATCCTCGCCCATTGGCACCAAGCACTCAATGTCCTGTCTGCACAATGCATACAGACAGGGATAGACTGGTAGACAAAAAACAGCCTGGGACCAATACCATCCCCATCACAACACAAGTGGATAGAATAATTATTGCCTGCTTTATTTATGTATTAGGGGTATAAAGGTATTCATACTAAAAATTTAGAAGATATGCTGTTTATGTTCATATACCTTGCTGTTACAAACTCATCTGAAAAGTTCAGAGCGACTTTCCCTCCTGTAAGTTGTGTGTGCTGCTTAGTGAATTTGAGACATGTTTTCCTCAGCTCATAACTTTCATCTTAAAGGGGTCATATGATGCGATTTCAATTTTTCCTTTCTCTTTGGAGTGTTACAAGCTATTTTATCCTTAACTGTAAATATTATAAAGTAAAGCAAGTATTTCCATTTTGCAAAAAGGCTTGTCTTTGCAGCAAGTGAGTATTAGACTTCACATAAGTAGCGCAGCGTGTGCACACAAACGTACAAATTAATATTTTATTCTTTGAACAAATATATTTAAAAAAATACTCACTGAAAGCTAGTAAAGCAGAGTCAGAAATAAAGAAACACAGTGAAAACTACTATAAATAGATTTCATTTATTCATATTGATTTCCACTATATGTCTGAAATTCTGAAAGAAGCAGTCAGCTGATTCTGCTTGACAATTTATAGAGTCCATCTTTTGGTTTCCCACATAAAGCTCAAGGGTTATTGAAGGAATCGATCTGTGAATCGTAGTAATTAATGATCTAAATCACTCATTTGGTTTGATTAGCCCTCCAGGCCCCACAGTTTAGGGTTTGTTTGTGTTGTGTGTATGTGGCTATTTTCATCTTGTGTGATGTGTTTTTGTGTGGCCCCCGGTGAAATTCCAATTCTAACTCCATTACAGTCCACAAACTTATCAGTGTGACTGAGGGTGTGTGTCCAGCCAGCTTTATTCGACAAATTATTAATTCCTCTCAACAGGCTTTCACAGGCCCTCCGGGGGAGTACTTTCAAAATTCAGACCCTCAGGAGCCTTTAATATTTCCCTCTTTATATATTTGATATATTAAAGGTATATTTCATTATAAGCTCTTCAGATTACATTTCATAGAAATCATGTTCCCCCTTGTATGTATTTTAGTCTTTTTCTGCTGGGATCATGTGTAATGCATTATATGCAATTATTTTTCATTTCAAACCACCGGGAAGTCGCTTTGGGGAGAAAGTGAGTTTTATTTCTCTGAATATCCTGTGGTTTTCTGGTTATCTGTTGTCACTGGTAAGCAGCCTCTGAGCTAGCTCACTCTTTACTTCTCTGATAAAGGGGATTTGACCTGTCAGTCAGGCATCATATCAGGAACAGGGACAGTTAGCAAGGAGAGAGAATGTTGATCCAGGAGGGTCTGAATAATGCATAGCTTTCACCTCACTGTATGTGAAAAAAATAGCACTGTCAAAATATTCTTTTCAAGCCATCACAGTCAAAGTCCCAGCGTTCTGTCAAACCCGACTGGCTTAACATGTTCGGAAATAAACAACTCATTTTCTTTTGTTACCGCTTTCACAAGCTGTGTATTAAATGTATAAAACTGTATTTGACCCACAAAATGATTGTATTTTACATAAGGAGAGTTTTTGTTTTGTGATTCATATGTCACGATGATTCATTCATCGTGACATATGATAGTGATTCATTCTTATGACTGTAAAACTGCAAAATGATAGAGTAAAATAGCTGTAATATAATGATACCAAGCCAATGCAAGTGGAAGATATCATTTTCTTCAGATGTTTTTATTTATTTTTTTTCCCTGTACTGTTCGGTGTCAAATAGGTCAGTCCATTACAGTAAATCGGAATGATCTTAACAGAAATTTTGAATTCTGAATAATCAAACAGTAATTTTAGGATCATATCTGAGTATGTAAACTGTTTATCATGAAGTAGAATTGATCTTCTCTGTTTTCTTTTCTCAGGCGGCAAAACTACCTATGTCCATTATTATTGTTGGAGTTGGCCAGGCTGAGTTTGATGGTAAGACGTGAAACTATTGTTATTTAGTTTCATCTTTATATCTTCTTCTATATTCTCCATTTTCTTTTCTCATTATTTACTCTTACTATATTTAATGTATTGCAAACATAGGAAGAAAATGTTCTGCATAACCCTTTATTGCTTGTTTGTATTGTACTCAGCATCTTCCTAACTGTTTCTTAACTATCAACTCAGCTAATAATAGTATTCCCACATGGAGGTTTAAAACTTGAATGCATAAATGCAACTTCACAGTTTGCACTCCCGTAAAGTACAGTTTCTGGATGAAAAGTCACCTAATTGGGAAGGTTTAGGGTTTCGGACTGATAAGCAGATGTCAACACGCAGATCTCACAGCTGTTCAATATAATTAGCATGTCCCACCATCTGCTATTAGTATTTGTGTTGGGCCTTTCATAATGTTCCAGCAAAGAGGTAAATGTTGGTGTCATGCTGGGGCGAAAGGCTCCAGATTGTTTTATTGGCTGGAGGGCAGATAACATGATGATCTCACTTTTTAGCCATGGTTGAACTGGACGGCGATGATGTAAGAATATCCTCCAGAGGAAAGCTGGCGGAGAGGGATATAGTACAGGTACATATCTCTATGTTTTTATATGTTGTATATGTATGAATTCATATTTTCACACACACACACACACACACACACACACACACACTATTTGGTGGTGAAAAGTGGTCAGTAATTCAGGATTCGTTCTGATTCGTTCATAATCACTGATTCGGTTCGGAATGCCATATACGCATATCTCAGCAAAATATTTATGTAGCCTAAGCAGAGTCAAAGTAATATAAATAAATCTTTGGGGAAGTTTCTTAAGGAATAACTTTGGGTGACCTACATTTACAGACATCTCAGATTCAGAGAATACTGCGACATCACACATGAAAATCTTTTTTAAAAAATAACTCAAGCTAACAAACAACAACAACGCCTTGTGCAGCCTATAAATAATGAAAGAATCCAGAGTATTTTTTTTTTGTTTTGTGAAACAACCAGGTTACATTGGTTACATGGGTATTTCAGTTACCTAGACTTGGAAAAAAAAAACATTAAAATGATTCAGGGAATAAATTAAACAACTATAGCTAACTGCTTTTTAATCTTATCTCTGCCTGCAGTTTGTACCATTCAGAGACTACATGGATAGGACAGGAAACCATGTCCTGAGCATGGCACGGCTTGCCAAGGATGTCCTGGCCGAGATCCCGGATCAGTTAATTTTATATATGAAGTCAAGGGGCATCAAGCCCAACCAGACACCACCAGACTACAGCCCACCTGGGCTCAGCCCAACCCCCACCGTATGAGTTTACCCAGCCTGCTGAAATAAAACAGGTGATGTTATGTCACCTCCAATTTGGATCTCGTTCAAAGCCAATACAACTGATTCAGTGTGAGGCGTCTAGGAGAGCGGATGGATTCAATTCCCGGTTTTTGGATCTCATACACTGGAGAAATTGAAAACTCTATCTGTGTTCTAGAGGTTGAACTGGAAAGAACGGTACTTATTGATCTGTGAGTTGGTTCCCTCCTCATAATTTCTTTACAAATTAGCCAACATTTATAGTTTGGATCAGTCTCATTCAGATTCATACGTCCGACTTTGCGCAAGCAATGCAATTTTCTGCTTATTTAACATCTCAACATCTATAAAAACGCTATAGGTCTTGTGTGTCAGCATGTGAGGACTGTGTGTTATATTAGGAAAATCTTTCTTGTATCTGCCAGAGGAGGCAAACGAGCATCACTAGAAAGTGTGATTTAAAAAAATAGTGAAACTAAGTGGTTGTTTGAAATATTATACCCTGTACGGGTCATCTGTTTAGTGAAATTGTTTGATTTGTTTCTAGAATTTGTAGATAGTTTGTGTTATGGTGGTTTTATTTTTTCCATGGGGTTTGGGCAAAGTCTTTTTAGTACAAAGTTATATTTCCCATTGCAGTGTCCCATTTATAGCTTTTTAGAGCTATGATAAACAAGATTTTCTATTCTAAAGCATGAAATCCAGGTAAAAACAATTGTACATTGCATTAATACATTGTATTAAATGTATTTACATACTTTAGATGAAATCAGTAAAGGAAAATCCAATGTAAGCACAAATATTTTCTTAAAGCTATAAAATTTGTAACTGTTAATCAGAGGTCACAGATTCAGATTCATTACTGTACACAGACTGAAAGAAATTTCAGGAATAATCAGCTCACAAGAACACAAAATTTACTTTAATTTGCCCCTCCGAGTTGATATATCTTGATATTGTACAGCAGCTCCTCAGACGCATGCGAGCCATCAGGGGAAACATGAGAGATGTCTCGCCGCTCGCTGCTAAAGATGATTGGAGATGAGGCAGCATCTGCTGTTTCTCTCATAGCACTGTCTGACTCACCTGCTGTCAGTGTCCAGCCACGCTGAACCTTTGCTCCCTCATTCCTGGGATTTTCCCTGGAGTTTAAAACACTTTTCTATTCTTCACCATGACAGGATTATTTTACTGGTTTCAAAAGATGAAAGACACATTGCATGCAGCTGAAATTGCGTTACTCGCAGTGCAAACATAATGCCATTTTGTTTCAGTGTTCTAGCTTTAAATGATTTATAGCATTGGCATAATAACAGGACAAGCAATGAACACAATTAATCTCATAAACTTGCCTTACATACAGCAAGTTTACATTAATGGTTGATAGGAAGCATAAATTAGAAACAGTATTTTATATGCAGTATTATTACTAAGGAAGTGCATGTCGATTTCCTTTTCAATTTTAAAACCTTAATAGGCTTAAGACATTCAGTTAAATCTCAGAAAATGTTAGCTATATGATTTACTCTTGTCTAGCATATACAGCCTCTTTTGTCTGAGGTCCATTTTGAAAATTAATAATCACTATCACAGACAAATCTGTATGTATCAGTAAATACTGACTGACTTGCTTTTTTGGACAGCAGGGCCGTTTATACCTGTTCTTACCCACAGTTTTGATACATTTCCTCCTTGTCCGGTAAATTTTTACATCTTTGCTTGTTTGTCCCAAGTTGTACCAATGTTTTGGTTTTAGAACATTTATCTGTTACTGTAGTGTAGATTATGAACTGTGAAGATGAACTGCAGTTTTATTTTTAAATCTCCTCTGGTCCTGAAGCTACAAATTTGTAAGTTAGCACAGATGTTTACAAAATGTGATTTCCTCCTTTTTAACCCACTTTTACAACAAGAATGACAATGTTCTTTTGCAAAGATTGTTAAATTTGGAAAATCTGCTCCCGGATAACAAGACAATGTGTTTAAACGCACCTTTCTTTTACTGTGAGTTATTAGCACACCTGCAGTTACTGAGAATGAAGTGATCCATCAATCAATTAGGAGGTGAAGATTAAGTCTGACAAAAGGAACATTGGGTGAAAAGGTTTGTTTGAGAGTGTTAGCAGGTGTATTGATTTTAAAGGCTTATTTACTCTTCACTTGATATTGTTAATGGCTAGTTAATAACTAGAAGATAATAGTCATTTTACTGTTGAGAAGAACATTATTTTATATATTATATATTCTTCTTTATATTTAGTTTTTTTTCTTTTCAAGGGCCTTTTTATTGTATTCTGTTTCTCAAATGTGAACCTGAAATTTCTAGTTGCATAAATGTAACCTTTTTTTAAATCCTGTTTAATATTTATGAACGCATTGCTGCTAGGTGGCTTGTAAATCCGAAAAAAAAATTACAGGCATCCTGAAACACGTATATCACTATCCAGAGAATGTTAATTTTATGGCATGGTGTAAATTTAGCAAATGCAATTTTTTTTATCCCACTATAATAAAAGTCATATAGTAGTTCACAAAACCATTGCAAAGAGGTAATAGTAAGAAAAAGTGTCAATTATGTGTTAAAGATGTGGCCCTTGTCCAGTGCCAACGTTCCCTCTGTGAGATATGCATGATTGTGCCAAAATAGCCGATGGGTTCAGTGATGAACTGGCCTATTGCTCTGCGTTAAGCCTCTGCCGCTTGTCTCATAATCGAAATCCAGAGCATGACGCATCCCATCCTTGCTATATTCCTTTTCCTTCTCTCTATCTCTTCTTCTTTGCCTCTCTTTATCTCTGTCGATACGCATGGTGAGATATTTCCAAACCGAACATAGAACATTGCTGTTGTCATACCCGTGGTGTGCAAAATTTGTAATGGATTGCCTTAAAAATGACAATGAATAAAACAATGACAACGTTTTTCGAGAAGATCAGAGAGAGATTTTTTTGTATGAGTTTCTTCTTCATGAATAAATCCATCAGTTACAAACTGTTGCAGTCTATTACAAACCGAAGCAGCCTTTAATGGGGAGCAGAGAGATTTTCTCATTAATTCATGTTAGATGCCACGGCTGGGCCCTCCAGAGACAGGTATGCATTTACATAAGTCTATTCGCTTTAGTTCCTTTGGGTTTGTCACATTCATTCTGAGCGATTAGTCACTAGTCTCTCTGGTCGCAGTGTTTAGATGATGTACATGGGTGAGTTTCCTCTTCTCAAAGGGTAAAATACCATTAAATGTCATTAGCTAGTTATTTGTGTGTGCTGACACTGCAGAAGTTCCAATCTATGCTGTGCTCATTATGTTTACTTGCTAGTTGCTAAATGCTAAACGATTGCTATTTAGGGTGTGGTCAATTTTATTTAGGCGAAAATAGACTGACTGAAAAGGGCAGTCATGATGCAAATAGAAAATATACTCTAAGTTGAGAGATGGGTAGAATTTTAACTAAGTCACAAGTATTGTTCAGACTTGTCCTTTAATCAAAGTCTTTTTGTCATTGCCGAACAGCGGCAAGAAGAGAACTCGCCGTCCAATCAGTTGGCTCCCTGGGGCCGGTTGTTGTGTTTCCTTCCACAAGAGCACCTGCAGCATTTAATAAGATTCACTTCTGATACATCAGCTGCATCACCTGAATTGAAGGAAGGAAGGATGGGGGGAGATGCATTGCTGATACAGAGTTTATTTGTTTTCTCTCTATAGCAAAAATGCATTTGCTAAATTGCCATCCTGCTTCTTGAGGCCTTCAGCTGCTCTATAATGAGTGGAACCCTTTGAAATCAAAAGCTATTTTTCAATGTTACCAGTGGAGATGGAGACTCACAATTCTGACAGACTGATTGATGGACCCTTCAAAGACCACCGTATCGGTTTTGAGTGCTAATGCCAAATTAATTCCATAAATTGCTGTGAAGAACCAGCAAAAGCAATGCTTCCATTGGCAACTGTTTCCCAAAAGAGAAGAAGAAGAGAAAAAAAAAACATCTGGACAATGTTCTCTGGAAGAACAGATGCAAAGCATGTCCCGAACAATCTGGGAGAGACATTAGACACCAAGACAATACAGTGACAGAACAACAGAACAGAGCTGTATCTATAGGCCTAAATAGGATACTCTCATGGGGTCAAACTTTGCCGTACTAGGACCCACCCAAATAAAATCACTCTCAAGATTTGTTTAAATTATTTTTTCTAATCCTTAATATTGTTTCAGTAAGTGTTCCTCAATTTCATTCCGGACCAAAAATGAGGAGTAGCCTACCGAAGTTGAGAAGCTTTGAGCAAATTCACTGACTTGCAGTTCAGTAAAGTTAATTCAGTAGATGCTCTGATAGCTTAGGTAAGTAAGGATTCCTCAAAGTGATTCAAATAACAGAGTTTGTGTGTTTTCGAATGATTAATTTAAAGAACCACCTCATGAGAGTCATTTGTTCGTGAATCTATTTATATACGTGACGTTGTTTATGCGTGCAATGCGTGAGGAGCGCTGTCACTTGAAGTCGGCATGAAATCAAAATTGACAATTCTTATTTTTTGATGGAATACTGTTGTGTTTATTATAAATAATTTATCCGTGCACTTCATTATTATTTTTTTTTTATTCATGTGCCCTCGTAATCTTTAATCAAAAACGTTAATCTCTCCTCCCCCTCAAAACGACTCCTCTACTCTTCCGGTCACGAGCTGTGGCGCAAGGGCGGAGCTATCTGGAACTGCCAGCAGCTGCAGTGACATCAGGGACGTTTGGAATAAACGACAGGGGGAAAAGCTGAAGCTTCACTTTATAGCACTGACACCAGTCATAAGGGAGTACGTTACCCTTAAACACAAAAGATATTAGGATATTACGACAACATTACTCTTAGAACATCGCGAACTATTTTTTTTTTTTCATGAATATGACTTAACCTGATGGAGGATGCGCTCAGTCATTCAGTCTCTCTCTCTCTCTCTCTCTCTTGCTGCGTCCCAATTCGCCTACTTATACTATGCCCTAAAAGTATGTACTATTTTTGTGAAGAAAAAGTACATACGTTTGAGTATGTAGAAGAATAGGCAAGCTTTGGGACATACTACTTCGTCATAACTGCTCTTTAATGGACGCTCTGTTGCTTAGTTACGTGCATTCTGTCCAAGCGGCAACCTCCCGCTCTCTCTCGTGAAGCCAACAAGGAAGTGACTTAAACTGTAATTCATCAACTGGCCGCCAAATCCCATAGACTCCCCATGTTAAAGGGGTCATATGATGCTGCTAAAAAGAACATTATTTTGTGTATTTGGTGTAATGAAATGTGTTTATGCGGTTTAAAGTAAAAAAAACAC